GGGGATGTTGCCACACGGCCGCAAGTATACAACAATCGGAAAGTGTCCATCATAAGTCGACCAAACGATCTCCGAATGGGTTCCAGGATGCTGCACGCGTTGGCGCAAACCCTATCGCTGTTCTCTGGGGATCTTCAGAGCTGAAATTACCTTAACTCTCAAATCTTTTTTCGCACGATGTTCTGTACAGTGGGGTTCCCTAGAAGCTGTTAACCACCTCCGAATTAGCACACCCCCTGGAAGTATTTCACGGGTTCGAGGCCAAGTCCCATGGTCCCTGGTCTTTGAAAGCACGGCACAGTAGTGAGGTGAGGCCGAGAAGGAGATTCAGATATCGGAAGGAAAACTTGAACGAGAATAGGAGGGGGAAGTCAAGTCAAGAATGCACTTTAGTCGTCCAATGTGGACAGAATTTTCAGTGAAAAGAACGTTATCATTTTTGCTTTGGCATACACACTGTTGAAAATGGGCTCAAAGATCTGGCAAATAGTTATTTAGATGGTAATGAGGAGGGTGCAGCATCTGCCTGCAGTGCAGAGTTATGTGCATCTAGGCTGTATACAGTTCCGACATGAACGTACGAAAAAGATCGACATGGAGCACGCTAGAGTTACAAAAGACATTTATTACGGTTAGTTTTCAGAAGGGCTTTTGTTTTGCTTTTTTGTACACAAATCAGTCTATAACTATTTCGGAGGGAGATGGGGAACGGGTTAGAGTAAAAATACATTCAAGGCATTTTTCAGGATTGATATTAGGACCAGATGAAGTGGAATACGAAACGAGGTGGGATAATTTCGTGTTATATTCAACCAGTTCTGATTGGTTAAATACGGAAACAGAAGTGGCGATATCATCAGCATATTTCAATTGTCGTACAGGGGGAGTAGTAGGTAAGTCACTGATTTCATTTCGCCTGTTCACCTAGTTTGGCAATTTGTTTGCAAACGTTTCATCATCAGCCGAGGCGACATTACCAGTGCTTGTGAAGTGGCAGTGTTCTGCTTGTACCAATTCGTTTATATATGTGTACTTCTCCACCGATTATTTTCGTCGTATGTTTTTACTGTGTTGGACTCGGTTCTCCGTTGAAACTGGTGCTGGGTGAGGGTGGGAGGGGAGGAGGTTGTCCTGATATAAGTCAAAAACAGGGTGATAGGACAGCACCTTGAAGTACACCCGAACTATTGAGTTATGCAGTTGTCTGTCTTCTTCCCAATTTTACATACTGATATCTTTGCGAAAAGTAATCAGCAAGCCATTCAAAAAGAGAAATGGGACAACTAGACGTTTGGAGCTTGTTAAGTAAAGGAGAACGGGGCACCGAATCAAAAGCGGAAGGATAGTCAGAAAATACAGTGCACATATTTGGCTTTCTCGTTAACGGACTTACAGATGGAATGAACTAGATAAGAAACAGCATCTAATGCAGAGCGCTTATGTTTTTATGCAAACTGATATATATCATCGAGGGTAGTAAGGGATAACTGAAGGTGATGCAGAAATGATCGCTCCATCAATTTCAAACCAGTAGAAGTGAGAGCAATTGGTCTTTGTCTCTAGGTTTCCTGGTAGATCCATTCAAGCTGGACGTGATCATCAAATTACGGATTAGAAGCACCTTCATCCAACGTGGGATAGGTTCGGTTTTCAACTAGCCCTGTGTAATTGAGGGTTACTAGGACATGGTTTCATAACCATGGCACACTTAACAGAACCAACAAGGTTCAGGTATCAAGTGATAACTTAACCCCTTGATCACGTCGATTTATTAAAAAACCTAGGCCAGAGTTATTCTTATCCCTTTAAGATAAAGACCCTTCTTCTCAATCGGTCAAATTCAAGTGCACCGTCGAGATTTAGAAAATATCGCCATTATTTGGCAATAGTGATCTTCCAGGGAAAAATTCTTCATTAGATATAGCAACTTGGACATTTCCAGGATTATGTTTTGCTCTAAACATTGTCGTGTTTTTAATGAGCTCGGAAAGACTGCACCTCACATTTCCCAATGGTGAGCTCTGTATTGCACACTGGCTCTGCTCTGATCAAATCTACTTTTGCATTGCCGTTGCTAAATTAATGGCCAAAGCTAGTGGTAACTCAATTCCAACAGTTCGGGATCATCAGAATGCAAAATTTCTATAATCCCAAACCTCGGCTCTATTCCTCCTGAAAGAGGTATCAGGAAAGAATGTGAGCGAATACGAGTAATAGGTTCTGACAAAAATCAGCAACCACCTAGTCCCTAAAACAAAATAAACGCAGTAAGTCGTCAAAAAACTTGCTATCCTGTCGTACTGAGAATAAGATTCAAAATATAGTTCCGGAATTTGCACAGTAACGATCTCCACAATGGAATAGCACACGTAAATAATTCGAATTGTATGCACTGCGTATTCAACACATTAAAAGTGTACACTGATTGTACGAGGTCAGTTTCATATATTACACTCGCCGCGCCTTGAACTGATCATAGGGTTTCTGTAATCCAGCCGCGGTTTCGCACTCAATCGTTCAGACCTTCGCTCATGTTCAATGTTCTTCAATTAGAGGCAGAGGGTAATTTCCCGTATGAGCCTCATCACCACAGACTCGAAGATCTCATTCATGATAGATCTGCATACCACATTGTTCGCAGGACGCTGTCGAGCTTCCTCTTGAACATCTTATCATTGACCTCTTCCACCACGTCAGCTGGAAGGGAGTTCCAAAGATTGGTTACCCTTCGCGATAGCCGGAACCGAAGAGGTAATCCTACGGACGAAAGCTTCAACAGCGTAAGTCCATGTCCACGAGTCCTGGTCTGCTCGCGCAGAGGGAAATACTTCATCAACTCTGGACCCATGTCACCGCGAAGAATACGTCGCACACAGATGATATCCCCCCGTACTCGGCGATAGGACTCCGGAAACGGTCCAGTCGCATGCAATCGTTCGGTGTAGCAACATCCGCGTAACCCGGCAATTATACTGATGGCAGCTCGTTGGACTCTCTCTAGCTCCACCATTTCAGCAGTTGTATAGGGATATGCCGCGGCGCTCGCGAACTCCAAGCGAGGTC